CTTCGCACTAAATTAGGTTCAAATCCTCTTTTCAACATATTTTGGTGTTTTTTAAAATAAGATTAATAGAAAATATAGTATTTTTAATTGATTATACTTATTTAATACATATTTTATTTATAATTATTTTTTCGAAATGTTTTTTTATTAATGTAGTATCATGTCACATTAATACCTTTTCATATGTAAACATATTTTTAGGTTCAAATACACGTTGAATCAACCTTAGACATTGATTATTTGTTACTTAATAATTTTTATTTATAGAGATCTCTTTTATCCAAAATAACATGTAATACCTGTTGAATACATTGTTAACATTAACGCAACTTAAATTAGACAGATGACACGACGTATACATATGCTAGACATTAACCAGAAAGTCTATTTCAACGAAGGTTAATGATTCCTGGGATTGGTCCCAAAACCAGAAGCTATAAAAGGTTTTGTAAAAGGAAACTTAATTCTCCCTGCAAATAAAGGGTTACATTTAATAAGATGTTTTTACATTACTAAATAAAAACGAGTAACAAGTGGAGGATATCATATCACCTACTTGTGGACTGAGAAGAATGACGCAAGGGGATCTGATGGCATTAGTTGCTCACAATTGGTGTGTTCAAAGCATATCAGAAAGTCTATTTTGACAAAGGCAAATGATTCCTAGAGTTTGAAGAAGATATAAGATTCTTTTATATGACCAAGTAAAGAGAAGTAACAAATAGAGGGTATCACCTACTTGTAGACTGAGAAGAATGGCGCTAGGAGATCTGCTGCCATTAGTTGTTCAACAATTGACGTGTTCAAAGTATATCAGCAAGTCTATTTAACAAAGCCAAATGGTTCCAGGGGATGGTCCCAAATCAGCTGTAAAAGGCTTTTTAGAAAGGAAAAAAAAACTTAATTCTCCCTTCAAATAAAGATTACATTTAAGAAGACGACCAAACACATTATTTTTTTAAAATTTTTTTAATTATCGAATTCCGTTAAAAGGTTGATGGGAGTTAATGAATGAGAGACTAAAATTGAACTAAAAAAGAAGAAGAAAAAAAGAAAATACATTAGTTTTTAAAAGATTGATGGAAGTTAATAGTTGAGGGATCAAAATCTAACGAATCGATCATAAGGACTATTCATACAGTTTAAAAGAAACTTAATTCTACCATCAAATAAATCCGGTAAAATTCACTGAAAATGCCCCGATAATAATAACACGTTTTCTTTTTACTATGAAAATCAATTAATTTTATTAGAAGTGACATAATTGAAAATTAGGTATAATTAAAAAAATATTTTTATTTCATTTAATTAATGATTATGTCTAAATATTCTGCGACGTGCAAAATTTGTCTTTCTCCACCTTCAATGGTCTATCAAAATTTTTAAAAAATTGAGGTCAAAACTAAGGGGAATATTCCATGGCATCGTTTGAATAAAGTTAAATTATAAAGACCTATTTAAGGTTTTTTTGGTAATTTAATCTAAAATTTTATAATTTGAATTAAAATGCTTTAGATTTGAACAACAATCAAAATTAAAATAGTTTTAAAATGTGCATAGTGATAGTGTGTGTCCCTCATAAAATACCTTGGAAATTATTTGGAGCGAAACTTGCAAACCCAAATCGAATCGGACCCACAGAGCAACCAAAACAAAACCGGTGACCAACCAATGAACGTGTGAACCATATCGGAAAGGACAAAAAGACATAAAACCCCAGAAACCATTTCGGTTCGTCAATTCTTCACAAAAAAATATCAAAGCCTTGCTCGAATTCAAGCCAATGGCCTAATTTAAAAAAAGAAAAAAAAAGAATCCCTCTCTATATATACTTTTTGTCGCACATCGTTATCATCGTGGTTTCTTTTCCACTCGTCCTTGTGTTCTTCAATGGCCTCTCTTTCGGGCCTTTGCTCTTATTCCCCTTCTTTGAAGCATAAGCATGACCGAGTTGCCAAACTCACTCCTTCGTTTCGCAAAGACTCACTCGCATCCTCAACTCGCTCCAACTCTAAGCTCTCCGTGACTCGTGAAGTGTCCGCCGATTTGTCGAAAACGAACAGCGTAGGCGTTTTGAAGAAGGCGAAACAAGGTGGACTGGAGAAAGATCCTAAAGCGCTTTGGAGGAGGTATGTTGACTGGTTGTACCAGCACAAGGAGCTCGGGTTGTACCTCGATGTTAGTAGGATCGGGTTCTCGGATGAGTTCGTCGCGGAAATGGAGCCCCGGTTCCAAGCCGCGTTCCAAGCTATGAAGGAGCTGGAAAAAGGCGCCATCGCCAATCCAGATGAAGGACGGATGGTGGGCCACTATTGGTTGAGGAACTCTAAGCTCGCGCCAACTTCGTTTCTGCAAGTACAGATTGATAAGACTCTCGACGCCGTTTGCAAGTTCGCTGATGATGTCATCAGCGGTAAGGTTAGTTTGGCTGCTCCTTTTTTCTCTCTCGCTGTAACAAGCTAGTTGAGCATCAATGTTTAAGCAGGATTATTTACTAATCAATTTGCTTAATCTCTTTTAAACTGTAGATTAAGCCTCCGTCTTCTCCAGAGGGTCGTTTTACACAAATACTCTCAGTTGGGATTGGCGGTTCGGCTTTGGGCCCACAGTTCGTCGCCGAAGCGTTGGCTCCTGATAATCCCCCTCTAAAGGTATTTGTTCAATTATAGTTTCATTCTCTTTCAAATTTGCTTTTCCAAAAGAAGATTTTGATCAAAATTTGTGGTAAAAGTGTCCGGTTGAAGCATTGGCTCCTTATCCCTTGTTTTGTTAAATTGAATTGTGTTTTGCATTTGCTTATTCACAATGATGTTTAGTCTGCTTGCAGTAGTAGTGTTTATTTGTTAAAGCAAGCACCAACTCCCCTTTCGAGATTTTTTAGTAGCCTTCTAACTGATTTTTTTTTCGTTCATTACTAGCTGAATGATTTTAAATCTTAACCGTATACATACATATATTGGAGTAGGCTACTGATATTTGTTATCTGAATTGGCAGATAAGATTTATTGATAATACAGATCCCGGTGGAATAGATCATCAGATTGCACAGCTTGGTCCTGAGCTGGCTTCTACCCTTGTAATTGTGATTTCAAAGGTCTGCTTTAAGGCATCCTTAATATCTACTTAGCTTTCCTTTTTCTTGTTTTATTCTTCTTTACTTACCTGTTTGACGGACTATATATAACATATATTTTTTATTTATCAAATGAAAACTTACACCAATCAGAGTGGAGGTACCCCAGAAACTAGGAATGGCCTGTTGGAAGTTCAAAAAGCCTTCCGTGAAGCTGATCTGGATTTTTCAAAACAGGTTTTGATCTCAGGTTCTTGTTTCTGCTTTTATTTGTTTACCCTGCTTCAGAGTTTCATTTTAAAATTTTACTTTAGTATTTAATTCAAGGTAGGTTGTAATTGCAGGATATGAAAAGGCTTCATAACTAGAGTTGGGTTTAGATATAGATGCATGCCATTTGGAAGTATTCTTTCATAAATGCTGAAACCACGTATGTTCACTGTGTACACACATGTGTTTTAGCTTTTCTATTGTTCAACACTTCAACTGATGTATGTTCTGCAACCATAATGAATAGTATTGTACAAATACTTTATGATCCTATGATCATTTTCCCTAATAAAATTGGTCTTATCATTGAATAAAACAAAGGGTTTATTATGTTTAGTGAGCTTGTTGAGTATTTGCGAGATACTAGATGGTAGCTTGAATTTTTAAGCTGGAACCCCCAGCTGAATCTATACTTAGTTTTTTATGTATAGCCCTTGACATATAGATATCACTTTTTTTTTTTTTTTTTGCTCAGCAAAGCCAAGTGGAGTTGTTGGTGAGACTTGGACCTTGGTTCTTTCCAAGGTGCTAATGAGTTCACCAACTAAACCAACCCATGTTGGCCATAGAGAATTCACTTGGTATCACATAATCAACTGTTGTGTTTAGATGAGAATTTTGTATTCCTGCCTGGTTCTCCTGTACTCTGGAAGCAGATTTTAGCTGTAATTTGATTCTCAGATTTATATGTGTTGTTTATTTACACATTCATGCAGGGTGTTGCTATAACACAAGAAAATTCTTTGTTGGACAACACAGCGAGGATTGAGGGTTGGGTAGCCAGATTTCCTATGTTTGATTGGGTTGGTGGAAGGACATCTGAAATGTCTGCTGTAGGTCTACTTCCAGCAGCACTTCAGGCAAGTAGTCCATGGATTTAATTTTTGTGGTTATCACAGCACTTTCAGGCAGTTAATCTAAGTGTATTTCTGCAGGGAGTTGACATAAGAGAGATGCTAGTTGGTGCATCTATGATGGACAGCACCACTAGGAGCACAGTGGTAAATTTTGGAATGCTGTTATATAGTTGCTTTAACATATTTTGTTGCTGTTTTCAATTGTTTGATTAGGGAAGAATTGAATCATGGTAATTGCAATTTTTATTTGGTGACCTTGGGTTATTTGTCTTCATCTCATGTTGCCTATTCTGGAAGCTAAAGAGTTTAGTTGGCAGTTTCTTAGCATGAGAAAAACTTGTCTCAACTTCTGTTTGAAATATTTCCTTGTGCGATTTGCTTTTGACTTCCTATATTTATTTTGTATCTGGCCTATATTCCATCTCCCACCCTCTGATTAACATAAATATTTTTCCTACTTTCCTTCAGCTTAGGGATAATCCTGCAGCATTGCTTGCTTTATGTTGGTATTGGGCGTGTGATGGGGTTGGATCCAAGGTATTAAATTCTTAACAACATTGCAGATCTAATGTTTTCAAAATTTTGGTTTCTTGTACTAAGACTTCTCTTGTGGGTTCTTTTAGGATATGGTTGTCCTTCCTTACAAGGACAGCTTATTACTTTTTAGTAGGTACTTACAGCAGCTGGTTATGGAATCACTTGGCAAGGAGTTTGACCTGGATGGTAACCGGGTATGTGGATCCGTTTAAGATGACTCATTCTGCTTTATTTTGAGATGTATCTTGGAGACTATTTTTGGCTCACTAGTGGCCACTTTGTAGAAAAAGCTAAACTGTTGGTCATTTTCTTGTCAACCACTTTAATTGCTTTTCACGGTGGGTGTATTACTGGATAAAGCATATGGGCTGATATGAGGACATTTTGTGTTTGGGGAGAATGATTCATGGTTTTCCATACATGATCGATTCTTGTGTTAGGAGTATACCTTGTACCTTTCATTTTCTTGTGTTAGGAGTATACCTTGTATCATACATTTTCTTACTTATGTGGAGCCATTTTAATGGATTAATTGTTGTCAAATATTTTGCTCATTTAAGCATTTTGGTATGATCGATGATCTGTAACTTGGTTGTATTGTTTCTAAATATCAGCCATAATTGATTGTGCCTCTAGTTATGTATTGATGAAATATTAGAGACTGTTTTATTTGTTGACTTGGCATGACTAATAAGAAATTAAGAAGTAGAATTGTGTCCCGAGGAATGTTATTGGTGGCACAGGCCTTAATTCAACGAAATATGTGATTTAGCCTCTCGATGCATATTATGTACAATTTATTAATATCAAAGCTTTATTAGATAAGCTTTGATTCTTATAAAAAAAAGAAGCTTTAGTCAAAATGTGTTACATGAGATCTTGAAAATCAATGATGATGGAGCATGATGCAATTTTATTGCATTTTGTTTTTGTCTTTGTTCTTTCAAACTTTCTGTTGAATTTACTCATTATAAACATGTTTGAATTTCTTTCTTACATTCTTAGAATTGGTAAAAACACAATTTCTTAATTCATCAGGTAAATCAAGGATTATCTGTATATGGGAATAAAGGAAGCACAGATCAGCATGCGTAAGTTTTCCTTATGCCTCTAAAATTTATATTCTATATTGATGAAAGTGAAGCACGGGCCTGATGCAACTTTCCACGTAATCAATTCATAGCTATATTCAACAGCTGAGGGAGGGTGTGCATAATTTCTTTGTGACATTCATTGAAGTATTACGTGATAGGCCTCCTGGTCATGACTGGGAACTTGAACCAGGTGTTACATGTGGTGACTACCTGTTTGGAATGCTACAGGTTTGATAAGTGCTTCTAAAAAGGGAATTTCAGCTACTGTAGGCATGATAAAGTCCGATAATGTTTGCACTTTTTACTGTGCTTGTGCAGGGAACAAGATCAGCTCTGCATGCAAATGACCGGGAGTCCATCACTGTCACTGTCCAAGAGGTGACACCTAGATCTGTTGGGGCTCTCATAGCACTTTATGAGCGAGCAGTTGGACTTTATGCTTCGCTTGTCAACATTAACGCCTACCATCAACCCGGTAAAAATAAGTTTCATCTTCTATTTAGGAAATTTAGTTATTGAAAGGGATCGAGGAGAATAGTGTTTGGTTACTTGTTGGGTCATATCTTGCAACCGAGCTGTTTGATCTAAACCTTCTTGTTGGGCTAATAATATGGGTGATCCTTTTTTCTTCTCTATTTTGGCACTTAATTTTAATCTTAGGTGTGGAAGCGGGGAAAAAAGCAGCAGGTGAAGTATTAGCTCTACAGAAGCGGGTTTTAGCAGTACTCAATGAGGCCAGGTAAGATGGCAGATGATTATGATCTGAAATTCCCTTTTCATGCAGTATTTTGTTGTTCTTCTGCTGATTGTGATTTCCGTTTCACTTTGTTCAGCTGTGATCAACCTATTGAACCATTGACGTTGGAAGAAGTGGCTGAACGTTGCCATGCTCCTGAAGACGTATGTACAGAAATACTGTTTTTGAGGTTACTTGTCACGGCTCGAGCGATAATCTCCTCTGTTTTTGTTATTGCAGATTGAAATGATTTACAAAATCATTGAGCACATGGCTGCCAATGACAGAGCACTAATTGCTGAGGGTGATTGTGGCTCACCCTATAGCTTAAAGGTTTTCCTAGGAGAGTGTATCGTGGACGAATTGTATGATTAAAAATTAGCACAACCAAAATATCAAAATTCTTGCTCGGGTTTTACGCTAGTGGTTTTCATTGGGGAAAAAATGTCCAATAAAATTGAATCACCGTGTATCGTATATTTCCTCTGAACCAGGCAGGAACTTCCCCTTCTATCAATGTTGAAAAATGAAGTTTCTATTTTCGCCCCGCTTTACTTTCCCTTTGAAATACATTTCAAATAGACATTAATCTTTCAACATATATACATACAATACGAGCATTGATCGATCTCCCATATCTAATGGAATTGGCATTGGTTCAGGGATTGAGATGCCAATGAATTTAAACTGCAATCAGAAATTATTCAAGAAAACAATATTTACAAATGATGAAAATACTTTGAGACATGAAAATCAAGGGATATGTAGCAGAAAATATAAAAAGAATAACAGCGTATACATGTTACCGAACCTGATAAACACCGACCTTTGGTCTCCATGTGGTGCAAGGAAATCAGAGAAGCTTTGACATGATATTACAAGAAACCCAGAAGGCCTTCGATGCAGCTCTTAGAAGTAGAGGGTTTTGGTATATCCTGTCCATAACCAACAAACAAACAAATGTATTAGAATATCTGCCAACGGAATTGACATAATATATATGCACAAAATGGCACATCCACAAAAGTGGGATAATATATATAAAAATATATCATAATTGTTTTTTTTTTTTTTAAAAGTGATACTTTTGTTTAATAGAGCAGTTTTAAGTTATTAATTTAAATTAATGAAAATGGGTTGGTTTAGTTGGTTAAATACTTGATAAAAACATGACACCGAACTCAATCTGGTACTGTATATATAGATAGGAAGATGCAACATATGTTAAAACCACCGAGTGACCAAGCAATTGAGAAACACTAGTTTGTCGAGATTAAAATCATAACCCACCCAATTGCAGTAGCTCCCCAGGATGCCACATTATAAATGACTTTGCTTCCGTCCCAAGCTTTTCGAAGCTTCCCCTTTTTCTTCTTTACTAAGAAGGTCTTGCTCAGTGCTACAAATGGAATTCAAATGAAAATCAGAATTTGTAATGCCAAATTAGTGATCAAAAATAGATTTGGAATAAAAGATACCTGAGATGGAAAATACAAGTTATTCAGTTAAATGATATTTATTTCTTTAAAACATTAAGGAACACAAAGACTCACCTTCCTGAAGTTGATTAGGGGTCAAATCCTGGAAAGAAAAAGAAAATCACGTAACACATTTTATTCAGTCTGCTAAAATGTAAAACCACAAAAAAATTGAAATAAAAACTTTGAGACAACAAAGAGAGTTTCACATACCTTAGTCTGTTTAAGGGATAGCAAATATGCAGCCATAAAACATGCAATTCCTTCTACTATATCCTCCTGCCTAACAAGAACATAATCTTCTCGATCCAAATCAATATCTTTATCTTCCCAGAGATCATTTTCATTGACCATGTCCCAAGAACTACTTTCTTCTGGTACCATAGAAGAATTTCATTAGCAACCACACAACAAATATCCTTTTAAACACAAACAGAGTTTTCCTAAAAGCATAAACTTCAATATGTTATTAGTGTAAGAAGAATCCCACATTGGGTGGAAAACTACTTTTAAAGGGTTTAAAAAACACTCTTGTTTACTTTCCTCATTGAATAGTGAGACTAAAGCCCATGACGTGTGTCAACGCCCAGTTCGGTTTGTATTTATGTCTTGTTTACTGTTTGAATTATTTTTCCAAGATGTTAGTGCTAATGTATCTGTTTTGATTTATTTTTCCAAACAGTTAGTGCTAACGTATCTGTTTTGCAGTAGTATTATATATATATGCTTATGCAATGAGCTGAAAATGATATATGCTAACCTTTAAAGGGGACCATCTTTGAAAGCATACCTGAAATGTTTTCTGGAACTGGCACCTGAGCACATGCCAGCTTTTCTAGAAAATCAGAGCATTGAACTCTGGATTTCAGAAGATCGCACAACTGCATTTAAAATAAAAGGGGCACAAACTTTTAATACCAAGTTATTTGGCAAAGTTTGATAGGAAAGCAAATGCAAACTTCACAAACATTTTCCTTTCTAGCAGGTTGCCTATTGCCATAAAGCTTTTACATTAAAAAGAAAGAAGCAAAAAATACAAACTGCTTCGTAAACGCAAGCGCTTGAGCATATCACATTAAGTATAAGAAATCACTATATAAGTGGGATTTCAACATCCAGGTTGCCAAGATTGCCAAGACAAGTATAAAAGTCGAATACGGGCTTTTATGTTGATCCATGATATTTAGTAAACATGCGACAGCAAAGTGGAATAAAATGGAAAAACAATCAGACTCGACTTCTCTATGACTAGAAAAAAGGCTCTAGTTTTGAGCTTGAATGACCACTTTGAAATCCTTTAATTCCCAATTTTATATCTATGTACCAACATGTTATTTCATAGGATGACTGTTATGACAGAAAAGTTTCAAAGTCATAAGAAAGGATAGTTTCAATTGAAATGACATCAATAAGACGAAGGCTAAGAGGCAAACAGACTCCGAGGCAAAGTAAAACATATCTGAGATGACATTCAAGTTATGTATTTCTCTATTTGTTTGGTTCAATTCGATACTGACAACATAGTTTGAATACATATATATATATATGTATGTATTAAGGCCTACAAACTCACAAACAAATCAACATGGAAAAACCGATGCTCATCGGTAGCTTAAAAGTCTACCAAAACTACACCTTGTCAATAAGTATAATGCAGCAGCAGAATAAAGTTCTTGGACAGTTGACATAGATATGCAAGTGATATATCAAAAAAACCAGACAATTATCCAGATGAGAACTACCATCTTGCAATAATATATGTTTAATTGTCTCATTCACCCAAGTTCAATTCAAAATCAAATTACTCATCAGACATGGAAGAAGCGTGTTAGAGATTGACCCGAATTCTGTTTGGCCCAGCCGGAAATTTTCACAGCACGTCTAATTGATGAAGAATTAAAATTGGGATAAGAATAGGGTTCAATGGTGGCAGGGTGCGGGGACTCTGCCTGCGGTACGGATCGCGTGGCCTGATTAGTGTCTGTACAGTTTTATAATTTGCCTTAGAACCTAAAATCTGGTGTGTTATTTTGTTTGTTTCGTTTGATTTGCCTTCATTTGTTTGACATTATCTTCTACAATTCCTAATTTAACAGAACGTAGAATATGTTTATACAAACTAAATCTTCATAAAGAACTTTAAAAATGGAAAAAATAAATTCGACCAAAATTAAAACCCATTGTTTTTAAGAGCTAAAAAGGTGATCATGTGAGATTCTCAATTAGAATTCCTCTCCTTCCCTTGGCACCCAAATAGAAACTTAAAGCAGATAATAAACAGAAAGAATAAAACAAACCTCATTGACTTCTTGATCTTTTTGAAGATCAACGCTGCTGACTTCCCCTTGAGGATCCACGTCATCTTTATCTTCAGCTTCACCGTCGTCATCGTCGATTCCCCCTTCGCTGTTACTAATCAATTCGATAGCTCTTTGACACTGTTCCAGCACAGCTTGCAACGTCTTCCTCGTAACACGAACCTGATCTTTCTCTTCCACAGCTTTTCTCATCGTCTCCCCAGCTTGGAAAGATTCGCTGCTAGAGCCAGCTACCTCTATCTCCATGCTGTCAACCCTAAAACAAATCTAAAAAAATACACCTAAGAGACTCGAATCTCAAACCCCACAAATTTTTGATCAGATTAAATCTAAAGAATTTGAAACCCCTCTCGCACAAGGAGATCGAGAAAAAAGGATCAATTTATTTATTGTTTTAGAATTAATGGTTAGGAAGAACATATGTTTTTTGCTTTTGAACTTTTTTTGACTTTGCTTTGGCAGTGAACACAGATAAAGAAGGAAAGCGCACACTGCACAAAGACGCCTTGTCAGCATTGGAGCTGCTTCATGCTGGATTTTGAGATCCGCTTTGGTTCGGGTGCGTGCCCGACCAGACGGGCGAATTCAAATTTTAGAATTTATTTGTTTATGTAAATTTTGTATTTATCTCCAACCAATCATTTCTTAAAAAAATAAAGAAAGAAGAAAACTATGATATATAGCAGTAAATGAGACGAGATAGATCATGAGTTATTTGAGATTAAATCGATTAAAGTTTGATAAATACTCGAATCGATTCGAGTATTTAACGAGTCGAAAAGAATTACTTGATACTTAACTCGAAAAACTTGTGAATATCTCGAAAGTATAATATATTAAGATTCTAATTTAAATAAATAAATTATTAATAATATTAACATTTATGTATTGATTTTTTAAAAATAAAGTATAATGTTTTGGTGTATTTAAGGTTTGAGTTCGAGTTTGAGCTTTAATCGAGTTAAGTTTTAAAAAAATCATTTCAAGCTTTTTCGTGCTTTTACGGGCTTCAATTCATGATTTCGAGTTCGAGTTGAGTCTGAAAATTTTTGTCTCACAAGTTTTCAAGCCAAGACGAGCTCCATTTTAAAGTTTTTGAGTCCAGTCGAACTCAGCAATACTCGAACTCGACTCGGCTCGTTTATAGCCCTACTCCAACCGGTCTTCATTTAACTATTTATCTAAAGGTAAGCGATTGAATCAAGTCGAGTAAAGTAAAAAAAATTAATTTACGATTACTATTTTATTATTTAAATTTTAGTTAAATTAGATTTATAAAATTTAAATTGAAATAAATTAAATATATTTATTCGAGTTTTTATTCCAATTTAAATGTATTCATTTATAATATCATAGTACTAATCGATTTCAATTTAAATAATTCTCTCTAATTATATTCGATATATATATTTATTCATATTCTTTTTAACATGTATAGAAAAAATTATAATGTTGTTGTATAAATCTAATATCGTTTAAAAATATATAATAAATTTATAATGTTATCTTTTAAATAATAGATTTTTGAATATAAAGTATTCATGGGAGTATAAAAGAGTCAATGAATTGATAGAAAAACAATTATTAAGAGTTATAATTTGATAATCGAATTGAATAAAATATAAAATTAATAGACTTTATAACAAAAATAAGAAATTTATTACCTAAAGAATGAATTGAGATTACATTAGGTATTCTCAAGTGGTATACAAGAATTGAAGGAACAAGAAAAATACGTAAAATTAAGGGACTATATAGAAAATAATATTTTCTTAAAAAATCTACATAGGTATTCTATAATAATTGAAGAACACGTGATTCAAATTTAATAAAAAAACGAATTCAAAATAGGAAAAAAATTAAAAAATTAAAGAAATTAGGGACCAAAACATAAAAAGATTAGATTATTATGTTAAAGACTAAAATAATACTATTTTTTTTTATTTTAATTACACAATTATATAAATTCATAATTTAAAATGAAACATTACTTGTTAGATTAAAGAGTGTATTTATGTATACAATTAATGGGTATTATGATTGTTCAAACACGTTGTAATAATATAATTACACGATGATTTTCTAGGTACATTTTTAACTTTTTTCAATTCAATTTAAATAAATATATTTCATTCAGTTCCATTATGTTATAAAATTAAATTAATAAAATATAATATGATTTATCAATTTAATTAACTCAAATTTTCTCACTTAATTGTTTGAACTTTTTAAAGTTTCTCACGACTTGAGCTCAAAGATACTAACTGTGAGATTTATGCCACCATTGGCAGGCAGGACATGCAATCAGGTTTTCAACTGGGAATACCTGTATGCTTATTTAGATCGTATTGTACAGCATAGTGCTGGCATACATGTGCTCAGAGAAGATCTTCAAACTCCCTAACTAGCATAGATTATCGATCAACCAACCTTTATTGCCCCCAACATTCCTACTTCCATGCAAACAACGTATTTGAATTCGAGACGAATTGAATTTACCTTCAACACCATGCATGTCTTTAGCATAATAAACTTTGTCGAGGGTTGATTCGTTCGATGAATCTATATTAAAAATGATATTGTACTTGACGTTATTGAAATTTAAATAAAATCATTTTTCAAAAAAAAAAAAGTTGGGGACGAATCATTTGTCTTGTTTCATTATAGATTGTTCAAAATTTTAGGTTTAGTCAAACACGAGTGATCTTTCATGCCCCGTATGGGTTGTACTTTTTGTTTTTAACTCAATCAGATGGATCGATCAAGTCCCGACATCAGCCAGTGACGCCACACTCCCACAGTATTCAGAGCGGAGCAACCGTGATCGATTCCGTAAATCATCGGGGCCGGTGGGCCCATTTGGGAAATCACGGGGTGGTAAGGCGGTTAAAGAAGGCCTACGAGTGCCAAGAAAAACCAATTATTTTTTGAAAATCACAAATTAACGTGTACAACGACGCCTTCGATTTTGGAGGGAGGGCTTTTAGGCGGTTTGACCAAAACAAGTTTTCGTGGAGCTCAAAGAATTCCCGGCCAAAAGAGAAAAAGACTCTCCCTTGTTCTCACATTCACTCTTCTTTATTAGCAACTTTCTCTTTTTTTCTTCTACATTTCCCCTTTTTCCCCACCATGTTCGTTTCAAAGGGTCATTTCGGTTTGAATCTAAATGTTTGTGTGTTTAAATGTTGTGAATGAGCGGCATTACTGAGATTGATGAGTGCAAGGTCGGTGTTGTTTGTTGGTTTTGTGATCGTTTGAGATGTGATTTTTTATGAATTCTGAGAGATCAGAGGATTATGATGGCTACCAAAAAGGATGAATCACAACAGGTATTTACTGATCTTTCTTCGTTTCTGGTTGAATTTCAAGATGGTTTAGTTTCAAGAAGCAGAAAAGATAGCAACATTTTGCATTTTTAATGGAGATTTTACTTCATTTTTCTTTTATTTTCAGAAAATAGCTTGCAAAAAGGAAGATCCGTCTAAAACACAACTGGTTTGATTTTTTCTTTTATCCTATCATTACTTTTCTATTCGGTTTTAGGAGAATTTAGTGTTCAGAAACAGAATATATTTTAAAAACTACAATGTGATTTAATGTATATTTTTTGGATCAGAAAATAATTGGTAAAAAGGAAGAGTCACCCTAAGCACAACAGGTTTTGATCGCTATCTGTATTTCCTTTTTCCTTTAATATTTTCCTGTTAATTTTCTTATTGTTTTCAGAAGATTTTGTTGGTAAACAGGAAAATGATCTTTCGAGTTTTTACTTCATTTTTTTTTAAATTATTGATCATAAACTAAAAAAAAAAGGAAGAGCCTTGTGAAGCACCACTGGTTTTGATATATACTTATCTTTTTCTTCTGTTTTTCATCCGGGTTTAGAAAATTTTGGTGTTCAAAAACCAAAAAGAAAGAAAAAGAACTACATATTAATTTAAAGTATATTTTACATTAATTCTTTTATATTTTTTGGATCGCCTAACAGAAAGGAAGACTTGTGTTAACTGTTAAGCACAAGTTTTGATTTGTTTTCTTTTTTTATGTTAATTTTCTATTTATTTTATAAAAATTTTGGTGTTGATGAACTAAGAAAATACCTAACAAAAAGAAAGAGTATTTTCAAGCACAACAGGTTTAATATATCTTTTTGATTCCTTTTATTTCTTTAGTTTTCTATTGGAAAATGATTTCACTTAGAGTTTTACATTATGCTTCTATTTTGTTCATTTCACTTAGAGTTTTCAAGCACAGTTGGTGTTGATCAAAATACATTTGTTTTCTTTTGTTAGTTTTAAAAAGATTTTATTGTTCAGAAATAGAGGGGGAAACTACATTGTGGTTTAACGAAGATTTTTCAATAAATTTATTTTTATTTATTTTTTCAGAAAATGGAAGAGACATCTCAAGCACAACAGGTTTAGATGAATCTTGCTTTTTTTCTGATTCTTTTCTCAAGTAAAGGATTTCAACCATCAGCGAAAAATAAAAGCTAAAACACTAATTTTTAGTGGAGATTGAGTGCTGAAAATCATTTTTGTTTTCCCTCAAGGGTGATGCAGTAATTACTGTTGCTCCTTCAGGTGGTGCCACAGGATCAACGGAGAATCTGAATTCTCGTGGGGGCAACACTGCCAGCTCTCCCCCTATCGTGAGTTGTTTAGTATTATGGGTTTTTAATTGTTGATTGAAAGTTGCACTAGACCATTTATTCCCTAAATAATCTTTGTTTATCGCATATATCTTATCTATTTTTTTAATCATTACTTGCATGTAATTTATGCACTTGGTTCTTTTGAACCATTTCATAGAAGAATTGGATATGTGGTAGTTATTCTATTTTGATATTATCATGTGGGCATGAAAACATTGATGCAAGAGAAAGAAAGAATTATGTTATGTATTTTAAGTACACTACAAGATTTTTTAATCATTTCATAGAAGAATTATCTATGTGACAATTATTCTATTTTGATATTATCACGTGGGCACAAGAAATTTTGATACAAAAAAAGAAAGAAAGAATTGTCCTGTATTTTAAGTACATTACTATATTTTTGAATCATTTCATAGAAGAATCACCTATGTGGCAGTTATTCTATTTTGATATTATCACGTGGGCAGAATTGAAGTCAATTAGGAAAGCAATTGAAATTTTCTTTTTCTCGGTTTGATCTAATAAAGAGAGATTGATTCTGGAATGTGATTGCAAAACAGCTGTGGATTGAATCTAGTCTCCTACTTCTGTCCCTGTGTATTTTAGTAATCTAATTAAGGATATTGAGTTTTTTGTATTGTCTAGGGCGTTGATAGTGAAGTTAATTCCTAGGGGTTGTAATTGGGAGGTTGATAAGTTAGCTAAATAATGGGTTGGGTGACTGGGTAGTTTTATTGAGGATGTTTTTTTTTGCATTTTTAGGAGATAGTCTTCTCTATTGTAATGCGAAGGTTTATTATTTTATGAATTTTACATCAATAAAATGAGGTACTCTTTTCCTCCTTCCTCTAGTTGCTCCTTACCTCTCGGAAAGGGTCAAATATGAAGGGGTTTTTTAATGAGACCTCCAACTTTTATCCAAAAAAATATTATCACGTGGGCACAAAAAATTTTGATGCAAAAAAAAAAAAAGAAAGAAAAAAACCGAGTCTTGTATTTTAAGTATATTACTAGATTTTTGAACCATTTCATGGAAAATAGCCTATGTGAAAGTTATTCTATTTTGATATTATAATGTGAGCATGAGGAATTTTGATGCAAGAGAAAGACAAAACCGTGTCTTGTGTTTTAAGTACATATTTTTTAATCATTTTGTAGAAGAGTTGTTTATGTTACAATTATTCTATTCTGGTATTATCATGTGGGCATGAGGAATTTTGGTAGAAGAAAAAGAAAGAAATGTATCCAGTATTTTAATTACTTTACTAAATTTTTGAACCATTTCATAGAAGAATTGCCTATATGGCAGTTTTTCTATTTTGATATTATCACGTGGGCCTGAGGAATTTTGATGTAAGAGAAAGAAAGAACTGTCCTAATTTAAGTACATTATTAGATTTTTGAACCATTTCATAGAAAATTACATATATGGCAGTTATTCTATTTTGATATTATCATGTGGACATGAGGAATTTTGATGCCAGAGAAAAAAACATGTCCTATATTTAAGTACATAACTAGATTTGTTGACCATTTTCATAGAAAAATTGCCTATGCGACAATTATTCTATTTTGATATAATTATGTGGGCATGAGGAATTTTGATGCAAGAGAAAAAAAGAACTGTGTTTTGTATTTTAAGTACATTACTAGATTTTTTTTATAAGAATAATAGGCCTTATTAAAAACCCTATTCATGATTAATGGAACTTGAAAACAGTTCCTTAATCAGCGGAAGGAGGAAAAGAGTGCCCTAGGATTTCATTAACCTCAAATAATTACATAGAAATACAAGACCTAACCTCCCTTAAGGAGATAGAAGACAAAAAAGAAACATCCCCTAACAGAACATAATGATCAACCAATTCCAGCCTTTGTAACACCCCCAACCCGTATCCGACCCGGATACGAGTCCGAAGTGTCACATTGTCTTTTCAAACATTTATTCATATAAAATAGTGAGTAATTTAAAAACTTTTATAACATTGAACTTATTCAAAACGTTTACAAAACTATTCAGAGCTTATACAATATATTCTTTTGATTACATGTCAACTAAAACTTTATTTATTAAAATACGTATTATTCACCTCTTTTCTGATCTGACATTTGGTAAGGAGAACTGACCTGTCTTGCTCCTTATTGCTCTTTACTCTTCTCGAAACCTACGTGTGAAACAATCACACGCTAAGTCGTTGACTTAGTGAGGCATATAAACATATAATAAAAACCATAGAACATTTCATATAACAAAACACATACCTGTACAAATACTATCATTATCATTAACATATCTATCATATAATATCATACATTTTTCCAATCAATACCCATTTCATCCGATGAATATGTATTCTAAACATTTGATCATGACATTTCAATATGCATGTATCTATTACACGATAACATATATAATCATATCATGCACATACGAAACTTACCTTATTGTACCACTTTTACTTTGAAGATTGTATTTCAATTGCCCATGTATATTATTGAGAATAGAGGTATGTGAGTACATTGAGGTTGTGCACTAATGCTGTCACCACAGCTCGTATCAATTCCCTTATGGGGCACCGAACCTTAGTTCAGTATTCGTCCCGTAGGACCACTATGTCCCGAAGGACCACTGTATATGTCCCGTAGGACCATTATGTCCCGTAGGACTACTCCTTAAGAACCACATACATAATACAATGGCTCCAATAAGTGTACCGAAGTACTACATATAGGTTCCACATAATTACATACATGTCCCGAAGGACCACGTAGAACCCTCGACTCTTGGCATGCCAACTATACCACTAGCTCTCATATCACATAACATGGGCATTATCATTTATAACAGTTCATATCACTTGTTCCTTTTCTTCTGTCACATACCATCTGTATGTGTAAACATATTTCTCATATCATATAACATTTATCACCAGTGCAGGTAATCACTTATCACATAGCTTCTTTTCATATTATCACATAGTCACATAGTTCACTTACACGTAGATCATTTCCATATAATTCATATGTCACATATCTCATGTTCTTGTATTCATATAACATATAATCACATAGATTACTTTCACATCACATAATTCATAGTTATGATTTCATATATTTACCTAATTACAAAGCTAATTCACATATACATGTTTTCATATAATTTCTATCATTTCTCACCCAATCACATTTATTCATGTAAACATACTTATCATATCTTGTTCACATATGATCATATACTTCATATAACATATAGAAACACCTAGAACACTTTCACATAGCTTATATCGTATTTCTAAATATATATCATTTAATAGTATTTTTATTTAGGTAATAATTTAATATATTTACTTAATTCAATTTCATAATTTCATTATAATCTTTTCATATAGCTCCATAGATATTTAGCATATAACTTATCTTGTATATTCGTATCGTCCCTTTATATTCAAGTTTCCTAATTGATATACTATTCCCATTTCATTATATAATTCAATCTTATTTAGTTCCCTTAACTCTCATTAAATCAAAAAGCTCTATTACACTAATTCCCATAATGGATCATACCACTATGTACTTGTCCAATTCATGTTTACCTAGTTCATATCACTTCTCATGAACTCACTCTCATCATCTTTTCCTATTCTTACATATTTTATCTCATAACCATGTATTCACATAGCCTTATATTTCATTATCATATTACTTATATTTGTTCTCCTATGACTCTTTATAAACATCTATTTTCATTTCCCTACATCTCTTGACTTATCTTCTATATTCATATAATTTCATAACTTATTTTATATTCTCTCATTAACACTTAACCGTATTTTTACATAAATCACATAGCACATACAAAACAAAACATATCAATTCATATAATCAAACATACATACACTTCATATCGTTAACATACTTATAATCAAGACTTAATGAGCTATTACTATAAGAATAGACTTATCACAAGTCCAAATTTCCATATAATCTTATACAATAAGATGCACTCACCTGGGCCTCGTTGTTTTGAATCAATCCTAATCCTTAGTTTGTTCCGGAACAAGCTTTCATTCTATATCTACATAATAATACATTAATACTTATCAGTATATTGATTGATATATTCGAAACTATCACTCCTTAGGCTCAGAGAAAAGCCAATTTCATCTTTTAAAGAAGGTATGCATCGATGCACTACACCATGCATCGATGCATAAATCCTATTCGATGTTTGTATTTAATGGGGATGCATCGATGCACTCCTTATGCATCGATGCATAAATCCTATTCGATGATTTCTTTTTAAATTAATGCATCGATGCACTGCATGTGCATCGATGCACCTTAAATAATTTCTGGGATTTAACATCGATGCATCGGTGCACAATGAATGTGCATCGATGCACATTGCCCAGAACTGACATTTTAGCACGTAAATCATCAACTCTTCCCTTAATTCTTCTATTTTAAGCCCCTCTTATGACATTAAACTCAACTACCATTACTTGAACCAACTTATATCCATGTAAATCATCTTTAACCTCAAAATCCTATCTTCCTTATGAGATTCAAGAATCATACCAAATTTTCTATATGTTCTAAATCAAATTCTATCACTCCAAATCTCTTAATTTAACCATTGACAAGTCAAATTTAACTTCAAATTTAAGAAATGAACTCTACTTCAAGATTGCACTTTTCTACTTCCTTTCTTTAATTCTTCATATACTCCTCATCTTATGGTTTTAAGATAATCTAAGCTTTC